AAATTAAGATAATGAAGATGGGTTTTGGATGAGAAATTTGCTTTTAATTTTTTTTATATATTTTTAAATAAAGTTTCCTAAGAAAATGAAGAATGTAAACAGACTTGCTAGGATGTTTTATTTGGGAGAGAGAACAAATCATTTGCAAGATTATTCCCTCTCATTCCCCCTTGATATTTATTGGAGCTCAGCACATGGGTGTATCAGTTTTCTACTGCTACTGTTAAAATTGTTACTGTTTTGGTAGCTTAGAATCCCCAGTAATTTCTCTTATAGTTCTATAGGTCAGAAGTCTGGCATGGTGTTGGGCTCACATGGCTGCATTACATTCCAGAGGCTTTAACGGAACACTTTCCTTGCTTTTTCCAGTTTCTAGAGGAGTTCACTTGCACACCTTCACTCCCGGCTCCCCATCTTCATCTTCAAAGCTAGCAGCATTGCATCCCTCTAACTATTCTGTGGTCATATCTCCTTCTGATCACAGCTAGCAAATATTCTCCCATTTTAACRACCCATGTGATTACATGGGACCGACCCAGAAAACCAGGATAATGTCCCATCTCATGGTCTAATCCTTCTTCATACCTGCAGAGTCTTTTCTACCACGTGCAGTACTATATTCTAGGTTCCAGAAACTGAAAAATGAATATCTCTGGAGGAAAAGGTACATTACTTTGCTTGCTTTTCCAACTACAGTAAGTAGTAGTACTCAGTCAACATCAGAAGATATTAATGGAAATAGATTTAAGTAAATATGATATACAGTAGTGAATATTAATTAACAGAAGGAATAATTATTCACCTTCCTTAAGGAAAAGATTTCCTTAGATCACATGTAATGTTTTCATGTACATGAAATTTTAAGTTAACCTACTGACATTTGTTTAATAATAAATTATTCTTCAATAATTCCATTCCTTTCCAAAATCTATTTTACACAATATAATTGTAATAACAATAAAAATTTTCATACATCATACTATGGTATAAACTATTCTTTCACCTAAATTCTTATATAAACTCTTACATGAATCAGTTGTCCTTTATTAAGCTTTACATTTATGTTAGAGATACATGTGTTTACAGTTTCTTACAAATATAGACAATGCTTCTTTAAACATTTATTTTTTATTTTTTATATTTATTCTTAAGTTTTAGGTGGACAGAATATCTTCATTTTACATTTATGTGGTGCTGAGCATCAAACCCAGTGCCTCATGCATGCTAGGCAAGCACTCAACCACTGAGCCACAACCCAAACCTGAACATTTTTTTAATCGTGTAAATAATTTTTGCTTGGAAAAACTCCCATAAGAGAAATCACAGTGTCAAAATATATGGTTGCCCACTGGTTCCCCTCTTGTTTTTAGAACGATAATTTTGTCAGGTATTGTGGTAATCTGGCTATCTGAAAAGATAGGTTGAATTAGTAACTTAAACATCTTTAAATACCAGAGTTAAATTTCTGTTTTGTGGACATTGGGAGGATATTGACATTTTTATAGTTGGAGAAGATTTGGTCAGAGCTAGGGTTAAGAAGCTGAATCTGATGGGTTGATATCTATATGCACTCTCTTTTCTGCTTAGACTGCTATAAAAGAACACCATAGACTGGATGGCTTAAACAACACTTATTCCTCCTAGTACTGAGTCTGGAAAGTTCAGCATCAGGGGCTGGTTGATTTGATTTCAGCCCTTTTTATGGCTTGCAGAGAGCTATCTTCTGGCTGTCCTCACATGGCAGAGGGAGTGTGCTCTGATCTCTCTCCATCTTCTTCTAAGGACCCTGATCCCATCATGGGGGCTCCACCTTCAAGACCTCATCTGAACCTGGTTACCTCCTCACAGCCCCACCTGCTAACACCATCACACTGGGGATCAGACTCCAACATGTGGATTCTGGTGGAACAAGCACTCATTCCATCACATGCACCACCTAGGTGTCTGTCACTGCTTTAATTCAAATGAGAGGAGGGGTCCTAATAAGATAAGAATGTCACAAAAGGCATCGCAGAAGATGAGACAAAAGAAAAATTCAATGATGATTCTAAAGTGTGGAGCCTGGGATGGAAGAATTAAGTGCCATTGTTGGGAGTGTATGGTTGGGGGTATTTTAATGCTCAGGAATGCTGGAATCCATTTGGGATATGTGGGCAGAACAACTACAGAAGTGTGAGCCGTAGGAGAGAGATTGGGTCTCCTACGAAGGTACTACAAATGCAAGCCATGTATTTAATTTTAAGCTTGCAACAGAGACATTAAAAAAAGTAAACAAGTTACACTAATTTCAATAATATATATTTTATATTGAGAGCCACGGCCAGGTCAAAATGGTGCCTGGCATTTTGCCAGAAGGGGCGGCTCCTGCTGCCTCTTGCCCGCTACTTTTGAGTTCTTGAGGAGTTTCCATGGAGTCCCCATTGAGTTCCCGTGGAGTTCCTATGGAGTGCGCCTGGGTTGGGGAATAGAGTTTGTTCCTGCTTGAATGTACAAGTGGCTTGTGACCTCCCGGTTATTTGTGCCCAGCCAGACTGYGGCAATTTTATTTAACATAATATGTGCAAAGTTGTATCATTTACCAAATCATCAATGTTACTAGTTCCACGTTCTCACTGTGCTCTAGCCATACCGTAAGTGCTCCGTAGCTGAGTAGGTGAAGAAAGGTAAATTTAGGAAATAGTTATTAAAAAGGCAGCTCCTTACCATGCTTGTGAACATGGATGCATGTTGGGATTGTGCCTGCCCTGTGACTATCATGAGCAGCTCTGTTAGGAACAGTCCTATACGCAACTTCTGGAGCAGAGAGGTGGGACAGTAGAGGCGGAGGAGTGGCATTGCTGACAGGACTCCAGCTTGTTTTCCAAGTGGCTGCTCCAGTTTACGTGCCTACTATTAGTGTGTCAGGGTGCTCCTTGCTCTACACCCTCACTAACATTTGATATGGTAGCCTTTCTTCATTGAGGTCAATCGAGTGGGTATAGAATGACTCATTTTGTCATAATTTGCGTTTTTCTGATGATTAATGAGTTTGAACATCTTATATACATTTTTTTCTCTTGTGAAAATCACAAATATTCATTCATAAGTATTATTATAAATATAATTTATATTTAAATAAATAAATTTGTCATGTAATGTTATATTCGTACATGTGTCACATAATATATTCCTTCAAGTATAAATATTTATTAATTCACAGATATTTATTGAGCACCTACTGTGCACTGAATATTGGTCTAGGCACTAGGAATATACTAGTGGGGGAAAAACTAGTCCTAAATCCCTGCCGTGAGTTTAGTCTAGTATGTGGAGAGAGACCAAAAACAAAATTATAAAACACCACATGTCATGTGTACTAGTGAACTTATTTTTGAATTTGGCTCAGCCTTTCACATCATTGAATCTTGGCTTCTGCAACTATAAGAAGAAAGTAGGAATAGCACCTATCTTATAGTATTAATTAAATGCATATGAAGAATTTTTCTTTTTTTGGAACTGGGGATTGAACTCAGGGGTACTCAACAACTGAACCACATCCCCAGCCCTATTTCTTGTATTTTATTTAAAGACAGGGTCTCACTGAGTTGCTTAGTGCCTTGCAATTGCTGAGGCTGGCTTTGAACTTGTGATTCTCCTGTCTCAGCCTCCCAAGCCACTGGGATTATAGACGTGTGCCACCATGCCCAGCTAATATATGAAGAATTTGACATGGTCCCTGGCAAATTAGATGCAGAAAATGTTAACGTAATAATATTTATAACATGGTTATTAATTTCCCTTTTCTTCTGCTTTTTGTCAGTGATTTGTTTTTAGTTAAAACTACTGACATTTAAGTTAAAATGCATTTTGATTATTATTGGAGTGTTGGCTCCCATTTGGGTGCCAGCCAAAAAACAAAAAACAAAAAAAAAACAACCAGTAGGTATTTCCTGCAGCAAGACAGATGAATTTGATTAATTCCAAGGTGTGTTATTTCCAAGCTTCTTAATTCTAAGGACCGAGCATAAGAACATATCTAAAGATATTAAAATGTATTCTCCATTTTAAAAAGCTGCATTGTGTCAAATATCCAAAAATGTGGGAAAATCCTTGGGAGCCTCTTATATAACTCAGGGCTGTGTCCTGAGATTGGAAATGTTCCCTGATTTAATCATTTCTATTTACCAACCAACTTATTGAAAACCCAATATGTGAAAACAATAGCACTTTGAGTTACAAGGGAGGTGCAAACTTGGAGAGAGTATTAGTAGTTTACATAAGAAAACCTGATTAATAGTTAGGTTAAAGTTTACAAGCCTCCCTCTCATCCCAATCCCAAATCAAGATGACCTGGAGGGTGATATCCAGCCACTTTTAAGCATCAGAGATGCTAAATATCTTGGTCTGTTAGGAAAGTCTTGTCTCTGAAGATAATTTCATTGTTATGCAGATGTTTCAAGGGCAGAAGAATCCCACATTGTTTTACTGCTTATCTAGTGGCATCAACTTGTAAAAGCAAACATCTTAGGGCTAATTTTCATACCAAGAAAGTATTTTGAATGATTTTGTTGTTGTTGTTGTTGTAGTTTTTTGGCAGTGCTAGGGATGAACCAACTAAGATTTTGTACAATTTTCTATCTCAAAATTATCTCTTACTCATTTCTAGCACTTAAATATTTTAATCCACATTTATTTTGCTTAATATGTATTGTTTTACTTCAAATAACAACAAGCCGAAAACTGAATGTCTCAAGCCAAAAAAAAAAAAAAATAAAGAAATTTATTGTCAGGAAAATTGTTCTAGATATGTAAATAAGTAAGAGAGATTTCTAGGTGTTCTAGTTGTGAAATGTTGGGTATTGTTTCCTGTAGAGTTTCATAAGCTTTTTCTGTAAAGGAACAGATAATAAATATTATGTGCCTAGAAAAAATAGAAAGCCCAATATGTGCTGCGTACTGTGTAGAGGAGATGGATATGATCTTACTAATCTTTGGAACAATTATCTGTCCTTTTTTCTTAGATAATGATGTTGAATATGATCTTCAGTGAGACATCTGTTGAGCACTGCAAAACGCAGACAGAAAAGCAGAAAGAATGCAACTTCTTCTTAATAGCTGTTCGCCTGGCTTCACTGAACCAGATCTTGGATCCCTGGGTTTATCTGCTGCTAAGAAAGATCCTTCTTCGAAAGTTTTGCCAGGTAGCAAATGCTGTCTCCAGCTGCTCTAGTGATGGACAGAAAGGGCAGCCCATCTCATTATCTAATGAAATAATACAGACAGGAGCATGAAAGAGAACACTTAACCAACTTGCATGTTCACAGCTTTTGAYAAGAAATAGCCCTAAACTTTGTGAATTAGGCATCTCTGGCATGCCACTGTTTATGCATTGAAGTGGAATTTTTATATAAAGCTAAATGGTCTGAGAAGCATAGATAAATCCTATGTGCCAAAAGCACTGAAGCATAAACAAAGGAAAATATATTAATAACAGTCTAGTGTGTTTTTTGGATTTCTGCCATTTGTAGCTGAATATGTGATTATTTATGTGATGAAAACACTTATTATAAATGATCTTGGTCTATTGGAGGGGCTAAGAATGGTTAATATCCCAGTATACTGAGCACATGGAGGACAGAAACCCATATATCACTGAAAACAAGGGGTAGCAGCTTGTTCTTTTTTCAAGTACATTTGGTCTTCTGTGTTCTCTTTCATTGTCTCTGTCACTTTTCCTCTGTCACTTTTTCCTGCTTATGTTAAAAAGTTTAATTAAGTTGAAAAAAATGTATGATGTATCTAATATTCATTAATATTGATGTTATTTAAATATTGTTCAATATATTAAATTAGGTCCTAACCTTACAAAGTTTAAGTGTTGGTAGGTTGATATATAGTTTTACTTCTTATCTGAATAAGAGCCAAACCTTCTTATTTCAAGTATCGTAGAGTTTGCAGCTACCCCGAATTGCTAAATGTTCTTTCTTTTGAAAATATTTTACATTAYTACAACTCTGGAGATGATTCATGAAAGTGATCTAGGAAAGTCAGTGAAGTGATTTTTCAAAATGCTATTTAAGGACTGATTTGAACACTACATATTAGTACATTTCCCTTGACTTTTCCACCAGAAGAATTCTCAAGTCTTTTGGATCTTTAAATACCAAGTTGGATTATAAAACAAGCCAATATTTAGAAAGCTCAATAAAGACTTTCYGTAGTTTGGCTCATTTRAATGAGAAAATTGATATTGACCTCTCACAACTAACTCTCTGTCCCCTGTCTTCAAAGTAGTTCTATTTAAATATGCATTAATATTTGTTACTTTTTTCTACAGYCCTCTCACATACAAACTATGAAAGCTAGGATTAACATCTTTGTGGCATAAATAAATCACTACATTAAGTTTGGGGAATTGCACTTTAAAAAAAAATTTCCCCGATAGCAACAATCCTGTAATTTAAGACTTCACAAGATACTTTTCACATTCTTTGATATTTTCATTTTATAAACTCATTAACATTTTCTTGTGAAGATTTTAATTTATAGTTCATTGCTTTCTAGTTCTTCAATGTTTGAGATTTATTTATACTTCTTATAGAAATAGCATTTTTCTTTGTGTTTAGTAGGCATTTGGGAAATAATTAATTTTAACATGTATGATATATCTATTTGATTTASRTATGTATATAYWCCAGCTTGGGTCAATSAGGAACAATCACTTTAAGTCACCATGTCAAATTGAGTCAAAAGACAAAAATCTGCTGAAAGTACTCACATAATTCAGGATGGTTTCAGTAATCTAGATTTTCTTAAAAAAGATGGGGAAAACCTATTCTATACCCCATTATAAAAATTTCTATATATCACAGAATTACATTATCCCATAGGTTACTACACAGGGTATAGGACAAAACTATCTACTTTTTTCTCTGGTGGGAAAAAAAATCCAAGGAACTTAATGGACTGTACAATAAAAAAAACTTTTCCTGGTGGGTGGTCCTCTGACCCTCAGTGATAATCAGATAGTGGATTTGAGTGGCATGAGCCTGTTTTGATTATAGCATCTGGAAAATCAAAATTGTCAAATAAATGCTTGTTCAGTGAATGAATGAAAGTCTCCCCAAGCTGCATGCTCCTTGGTGAGGCACATGCCATAATGTTGACATATTTCATACCATTGCAGTCCAGAAAGCTGATAAATTGGAAGATTCCTGCTAATTTAATTACAGGGATACAAATTTATCTTCCAAAGTGTAGTACCCTGTTGTTTTACAACAAAGTGCTTTATTTGTATTAATAATTTAGGAGTCATATTTCCAAATGATAATGGAGATTACTGTCAAAAAATATCATTTTTCATTAAACCATAAAACACAGAAAGAAAAAAGAGCCTGAAACTTATTTTCAACACTAAATAAATGTCTGCCCAGGAAATACATGGTGGAAATGGATAAATGGCCATTTATAAACAAGCTTGAAAAGGAATAAATTGTATGAATAGCATGTGACTTTTGTTATGTAGACAGCCATTTGTTAGTCCAGGGAAACCTAAACAGAAATAAGAATCCCAAATGATTTCAGTCTTTGAGGATAATTGAGATTAGATTTCAGAATGTTGTACAAAGGTTCTAGGGTCGTTAGAAAGTGGACATCTATGGTTACTGCAGAGAGTCATATCTGTTTCTAAGYGCAAGTTGATTAGCCTTTAAGTTTATTCTCAGATACTTTGTTTATCTGTGCATATATTGAAGTAGGACAGAAGAGGCTGGACACCTGAAGAATTTTTAGGAAGCAGGTTTCTTGACTGCAGGATTCAGATTTGTGGCTCTAGAATTTTTCCTTTGAACAAAGATTTCAGAAAATTTCTTTGAACTTTATACCCATGGTGGGAGGGGGCACAGGTTTCACAAGATTTTACCAAGAAAACAGAGATAATATCTTTTTGTAGGACAAGCTTGCAGACTAACTCTGTCACACCTTTTGTGTGTAAACCTGGCATTTACAAGAAAGAGGAAACTACCGACCACGACCACAGTAACCTCTACAGACATCCTGCTGATCTGACAGGAGGAAAAGCTTAATTGTGGCAAGGGTCTTTTGGGTTTTTGGGGGGTGGGGGTACCCAATCTGCTAAAATATCTGAACAGGAAAAAAAATGCATAAATTATGACAATTCCTAAACTTAAAAGTGTTGATTAAAAAACAATTGGAGACACAGAAAACCAAAAGGAAGGAAGCAAGTGAATGGAATGTAAAAATATATGCAATGTCCACAGTGTGTATGATTTTTCAAATAGTAAATAGATACACTGTGCTCTGTCGTAGAAAAGAATGAAGGCATGTTTTCGAATAAGAACAGTTAATTTTTAAACAAAAAAACCAAAGGCAAAAGTCTTAAAAATAGTGTTCAGTTGAAGAAACAAAATGTATTTTATTTCAATATATACCGAATTTACCTAATGCTGTATACCAAGATATTCTAAGTAAATGCAAGTGTTTAGTCAGACTGGATTTAAACTACACTGAAATAAATGGTACACATATATTGTCTCCTTAATGCATCTTTTTTTTTTCTATAAAAGATTACTTGACAGAAACGAATTGTACAACCTCATGTAAGTTAACTATGAAAGATCCTCTGGCCATGCTGACATTGAATAATGGGCAAACAAAAAGTATGACAGGCAGTATTCTGAGAATGTGGTCACTTATTGTCGCTATTCGAATATTAGAATTTCAAGTAGATTAGGTCTTTTATTTATTTAATGTTTTTCATACATTTTGTTGGTGCTTAACTCCAAATTAGTGATCCACTTTTGATCTTCAGCATGTGACAATCATTTTATACTTCTTTTGGATTAAGATCAAATTAGAGACAGAAAAAAAATTTGTTCTTTGAAACTTTTGGCTTGTATGTTACCTACTTATTTTCACAAGTCAGTCCCAAAAGCTTCTTGAAATACACAAGATGCTGAGATGAGTGACATAATGAGACTGCAGACGATTTATTAATACAAAGACATTAAAAGCTTAATTAGAATAACTTCAAAAATTCTGTTTTAATTAAATAAAAACTTTATGCCATAGGCCATGACCTATGTTTTCACAGATTCTTATTTATTGCTTGTTTTGTGCTTTTATATGTTTCAAAATCTATCAAAATTGAGATGTAAATAAATATACAAAATCTTGCAGTTGTGGCCAAGTCCATACGACTGTTTTCTCTTCTTGCAATAATATGCTGAGAAGAGGTAAAATATGTCTGTGATGTTTCATGATTGTGGTAGACATGGAAGAGTGATTTATGAAAGTTAAGTCAGTCTATATTCATATAACACATTTGTTAAGTAGTTGAGATCAGTTTAACATTACAAGGAAACTAACAGATGGAGACTACAGATGAAACATGAATCAGAGAATTAGGGAAATATTTTATTTGATGTATTCTGTCTTATAATTCCTATGATGAAGAGTCCATTACACACCATGACATTATGATAACACAAGCAGAGTCACTTATGAGCCTCTAGGAATACAATTCCATCAGATATGCAACATATTCATTTATAAGTCACACAGTTCTTTTATTGGGGATGAAAATTATTTCCAGAAGCTTTGCATCAGTGAGTTTCACATAATAAGCAATCCAAATACCTATTGGATTACATATTTCTTCTTTAGGAGCTGGTCTGTTTCTCCCTACTCCTCTATCCTCTAACCTGTCTACCTATTTTCTTGTAGAGAGAAAGTAACAGATAGATTTACAACTGGAGAGAAGCCAGGATTGTATTCAGAGGAGGGAGAGTGGCTTCACATTTCTAATATGCCAGTGCCCTAGAATGTGAAAAGATCTGAGTCTGATGTGATGGGGAAACTTTATTATGGGAACAAAGAGAGGAAGAGAAGAAAGATGACCAGGAACAAATTATTCTTTCCCTTTTTTTGAGGGCACTTTGGAGCTGACCTCCTATATAAAGTTATTTTCAAATGTGCAACTCTAAATTTTGTTGTCACCATCTCTAGAATTGGAATATTTTGATATTAGTATAAATCAGTATTAGTTATTTGATATTAGTATCAAACAGTATAACTAATACTAATTAATTAGTATCAATTAGTATAAATCAGGTACCCAGCTGAAGTCTAGCCAATCATCCATTAATAGTAATTTGGAAATAGTTTCCTTATTTAATTTTTAGTTTCTGGAGAAAACAAAGCTGTATTAGTAAACAAAGAAAAATGCATATAACTTTCTGATACTCTTCAATATTCTACTTTTGGACGGACACATATATAGGTAGGCATAGGAGATGGGATAGAGAACTTAAGGATAAGGGAGAAAACCTGTTCACTTTCAGCCTGTTAAAATTTTTTGTCACCTCTATGTAAAGACTTTGTGCAGTTATCTTCAGTGCATTTAAAAATATATTCCAGTGTGTTTTAATGGCTGATCTTTAATATTGTGTAGATGAAGAATAAAAGAGACTATGAAAAGTACATTAGAATTTTATGGCATTTAAGTCATAGATAGTCTGTGTATTTAATAAATGTATGTTATTTATGTTGTGTTTGTCAATGGAAAATAAAGTTGAATGTTCTAAAATGTCCCTGTCTTTTTTTCCTGATGCCAACCCATGTCAGGAATATTTAACTTACAATTGTATTAAGTATTTTGTCAAAAATCCTGTTTGGCATGCTTTGTCAAATAAAAACACAATATAATGCAGCAGCCCAATGCGGTA